GTTTCTTCCCCTGGCAGTTCTATGGCTGTTGGTGCTGTTTCTCCACTAGTTGCAGGTGTTGGTCTATTCAAGAGTTCTTTGCATTTACCGGCCCATTGTTTTCCCCGTTTCTTCTTTTTGGTAATTGGGTTCCTCCGACTATCTTTCATTGTTTATCTCCCCCCGAATAGGGACGCTTCTATTTAATTTAATGTTGTCTCTTACCTGAAGCCTGTCCTCCTTCAGTTTTCAAGGTGTCATAGCATTGTCTTTTTCTCTTCCTGTCACTCTTCCTCACTTCCTTATTCAGTGAGTTGTACAATTTCATCTTCACACTGGTTCACCTGCTGTCTTGCCATTCCTCTGTCCTCTGTTGGCTTCCTTGTCTTCCACTTCTTTCTTCTTACGGCAGATATACAACCTTTCTTCAGCATCACTTTCAGAGAGTTCATAGGTCTTCCACACAGGTTTCCTCTGTGATGGTACATAGTGTCATTGATTTTGCTCTGATGGCCTCGGTAAAGGTATCCTTTGTCGGTTTTCCCTTGACTTTCAGAGTATCCAACTTGAATTGCTGTCTATCTCTAGTTGCCTTGATTGCCTTCAGCTAGACTTTGAAGATTCCTTGCATTAGATAGTGATCTGAGCCCACATCTACGTCTCTTCGCGATTTTGTGTCCAGTAGACTGAGTCTCCACTTCCTTGTGATTGAGATAAAGTCTAACGGATTTTTGATGTTTCCATCTGGTGAAACACATTTCGCTTTGTGTTTATCCTTGTCGTTGAGCACGCTACCTCTAATCACCAAATCTCTAAAGACACAGAAGAGTTCGTCTTCCTCCAAGCAATTGCTTCTTGGTCCATGATGAATTGTCTTCCTGTGTTGTTTGATCCTCGTTTGAAATTTATATTGCCCTTTAGAATTTTGACATCGCTATCTGGTGTCTTGTCCACTACTGTTTGCAATCGCCTGTGGAAGACTTCCTTCTTCTCCTCTGGGTCTGTGTTGTTTGGATGGATGCAGCTTTCCTGCCTTTTCGTCTGGATCTTTCTGTTATTATTCTGTAGTAAATTGATTATCTCTGAATAAGAGCTTTCGATACTGTTGGTAACATCATGATATCCACTCAGTGTGCTTGTGATTGTCGTCCAGGTGACTGGAGTAGATTGTTAACTCTCCAGTTAGTGATTTGGGGAATTCACCTCCTTTCAACATGTTCTCACAGATTTCTAGCACTTCTATATGCTATATTCCCATCCTTCTGGCAACCTGGGCAGTCTTCCCAGATTCTAACGCTGTGCAAACATTCCACGTCCACAAGCTTATTCTTGCTTTTATCTAAAGAAGACACATCGGCTGACCGGATTCCTGAGGGCTCCAATCAACCCTCAACATTGTTCTATCCAATTCTAGCAAAGAATAACTTCATTTTTTAATTTTTTTCACGTCTAAGTTTCAGTAGTGATTCAGCTGATTTTCTCGGTAAGGTTCGCCAGCCCAGTGTCCAACCTTCTCTCTTTTTCCTGGTATATGGCCGAGTAGTAAAGTAGTGAACTAGCGTGCTAGGTGAGCTTCACCGTGGAAATTACTTATTCATTGTCGCCTACTGATTTGCATGATTTAGTTCCTTTTGTTTGTTGGTAATTAAACGAACTCCTTTTTATTATCAACATCATACATGTTAGATGTGTAAATTAAATCTCAGTTTGCATTTTGTAATTTTCATCATTAAATGACTCGTTTAATAGCAGTATTTTAGTAATCGAACTAGCCATGAATGTCTTGCGTCAAAATGACCGAATAGTCCTAGGTTGAATAAATAAGCGATTTATTTGGCTCTTTTTTCAGCCCTAACATATTTTCAATGTTTATTACTCTTTGGATCAAAATGATTAGTTTTAAAGTGGTAGTTTAGCTTTTCTCGACCTATTTGTTATGAAATACGTGTGATACAAAGTAGGGTTACATTTGTTATATTAGTCAGTAGTTTGCTTGGTGAATTATCCAACTCATTAAATTTCATCTTCGAATACTAACTCTGTGCTTTACAATGTTTGAATCAAATAGGTGAATGGAATTGATCTCAGTCGTGCTACTCATGAAGAAGCTGTTCGAATACTGCGTAATGCGGGAGATATTGTAAACTTAGTATTGACGCGTCAACAAGTGCAAGCTTTCGCCGATGATGACGGCGGTTCAGTTAGTGGGGATTCAACACGCAAATATCAAACAGATTTTGATCGGAAATTCTCGTGAAAAACTTACTGTTCAGAAATTATGTGCCTACTGACTTCAATTCTCTTTTTGTATAAAGTTTCTGCTTATACATATATATTATAATATTATATAATATATATATATATATATATATATATGAATTGAATAATCGGGTAGAAATTATTTAACAAAGGGAAACAATGCATTTGGGTAAGGAGTATAAGTCAAACAAATCCCTGGTTATTAGAGGCTCCGGGTTCATCGGTTACTAATTTTGTTTTTACCCAAAGACAAGTTTTATTTTCAGCTTAGATTATCATTCCATTAGACTAAGATGGTGGTTACAAATGAAGCTATTGTAGTATTTTTCTCAAGTGAGGCTTGGTAAAAAGGATTTATAGTAAGATTATCGAAACAACCTCTATCCGACAAGGCAAAGTGAAAGAATAGCGAGGCAACCCAACGAACGCACTATAGATCTGGAAATGACCAGCTGGTTTCGAAAGAAGAATTATAGTCTCTTACTAAACCCTAGTTCCTCAGTTATCGTAATCAATCCATTACCTAACTACAGCCCCCTCTTCCCCTAGTCGAATCCTCAACATTCCTAATCTGCCTGTAACTCAACCCCAACCTAACCCTTAATTAACCAGATATCACGTTTGATATTCTCGTAGTTCTATCAGCATTACTCTACGAATATAGTATCTTCCATCTGGTTTCACTAACATTTTCTGCATCTGCGTTTCACAGTCACTGATGTGTTCATTCCCCTGCATCGCTCTACGACAGGACTCCAGGTGAACATAGAGAAGACACAAGTGATGAAGACAACCAATGAGCAGCAACAACCAGCACCAATCACCATTAAATGGAGGGATTTAGCAAAGGTTACCTCCTTTACTTATCTAGGTGGTCAGCATAATTTCAACTACAGGCGAAACGGATGAAGATTCATAAGTTAGAATCGGAAAGGCAAGTTACGTCTTCATCAACCTGAAAGCAGTTTGGAGATCTTTTGCACTCAGCATGAGGAACAAGATTCGGATTTTCAACGCAAGTGTCAAGTCGATCCTTGTATGCGGGTCAGAAACTTTCACTGAATGTCACGAAAAGGATTTCCAACAGGTTGCAGATTTTCATCAACAGCTGCTTTCGCTTGCTCCATACTGAAAATTAAATGGCCGCCCAGAAGGAATAAGCGACAAGACACTTTGGTAACAAACCAACTACAACAAATATGTAGGAGAAAATGGAGATGGATCGGGTATAAAATAAAGTATAATTATATTTCAATAGTTTACACACAATGATAAGTTTTGTTATTGGTAATATTTCGAGCAAAATTACTGCCCGTGTTCACACCACTGTTGGAATTGTTTTATTCACTCACATTTATGATTTGTACTCAAATATATACGTTGAGAAAACCGTCGAATGAAATCGGGAGCCAGGCCATTACTCGAGTGGAATCCGAATGGGGAGCGACGAATGGTTCGTCGGTGCGACGGTAACATGGAGGAGACAGTGTGAGGAAAAGATGAGAGATCATGGGCGATCGTGAACCCAGCTGAAGAGGATACCAGGAAACAGAACAAAGTCGAGATGTGTTGTTGAGGTCCTATGTTCCACTCCGTAAAAATTCTAACAAAATGACTCCGGATAACTTACATAAATTCACGGAATTTGTAATTTCAATTAATAAGGCTTGAAATTATTAGTTGTTAGATTGTCGCCACATATACGATGACTGATAAAATTACTCGTAAATAAACTGAAGAAATATTAACAGTAGAACTCTTTAAAAGCCTTAGCGTGTTTGTTAAATTTCAGAAATGTATTTTAGTACCCCCCAATTCATTTCTTTACACAGATTTTTTAAAATTCTGATTCACTCTGGTGTATGTGTGCCATTAGTATCACTGATTGTCACTCTTTATTTGTATAGCGTTGTTTCAAGCTTTTAAAATCCAGGACATAAGCAAACGTGACACTATTTTAATAATGTTATTATTATTATTATTAATTAGCTGAGCAGATAATTTCTGATCATGGTAATTAACTATGATTTAATTTCCATTGGTGATAAAACAATTGATTACTGTAACGTTTATCAGCTGATAGGAAAACCAATTAACCACGAATTCTAGCTCCACCACCAGCCGATATCATCAGTATTTCATTGGTTCTAAATGGTTATTTAACTGATATCAGTAAGTAATGAAACCTAACATGATGTGAATCTAATTCCTACAAACCAACATTTAAATAGATAAGACTTGGATCGGTGAAGTTTGAATTGCTGAAAACATTTATTGGTGCGTTAAAAGAAAATAAAAGGTACAGCAGAAACACTGTCCAGCTTGAAGTACACGATAGATTTTGTTTCCTTTAATTTCCGAAAAGTCATTGCTCGTCAATGGAAAATTAAATCTAGCACGAGAAGTAATGTTATTATCAAAAAGAAGCATCCTAAATAAAAGAAATTTTCCATGAGAGTTGAGTGAAATGAGTTAATATCAGTGTCATAGATACTACTTTAGTTGTGACTGTCCAGTTTAAAGTTGAAATATCAAACAAAATAGAATGTTGACAATCATGTTTTTCACACCGATTGTTTGTCGTTTGACATAGGATGGGTATATGTGTGTTTTTACTAAAGGTAGCGTGATATTAAGAAGAAAGAAGGTAACTTTTGCCAAAATAAGTAATAAAGTTGCATCTCATCGATTGCTCCAAAAACTTGACTTGCTGGAAGTAAAATAATCACCGTACTAAACTGAATTCTTCTGCATGATCCATTCAGTTTAAAATGCCCTACAACGACCAAATGAATCGGTTGTATTGTACAAGAAATGTTGTATCAGTAGAGTGAAGTTTAATCTCAAGTGACATTTGTGTGATGCATCATCAATACGTCCAGCAAAATCATTCGTAGATTAATAGAGCGTTGCATAAATCATCATAGTTAAAAAATGACCTTGTACATCCCTAGCTGTTTCGCTATTGATGTAAATGTAATTAAATCTGAGTTTCTTTTAGAAATCCATATAACAGATAAAAGTAGAATACTGGATGAAAGTAAAACTAATATGATCATTAGATATTCAAATCACATGTAAAGTAGGGATGAACCTTTGAAGAAACTAGTCTACTTTTTTCCGAGACAGAACGCCTTTATACAATGCATTTCATTTGCCATAGTACAACGCCTAAGTAGATTTTATTAAAGCAAAATTGCATTCAGTTTATTTGACTCACTAGGAAAGGTTGAAGTTTTGTCTGTAGATTTTAAATCGAAGTAGGTCGTTACTTAGATTTAAAGGCATTAATTGCTGACCAGATTATAAATGGGTTTAGAAACTAACGAAACAGTTTTTTCCAAAGGCTGTTTACTGTCCTAGGTCGCTTAGCTAACTAGTTACCGTATCTTAATAAATGTGTAAAACTTGGGCACTGTGGTAGTAAGTAATTCCATATTAGTTTGTTTATTATGAAATTATATGAAATTGATATGATTATGAACAATAAATTGTGTTCGAAACGTCATCCAGTATATAATACTGTTTCACTGTGTGATATATCTAATAAACAAACTAATATGGAATTAGTTACCGCATCTTGCATGAATTCTTCAGAAAATGAATCTCATTAAGTGAGCTTTGATTAACAGCAGAGAAATGTTCTTCAGATCATATAACACTGAATAAGGATCACTCAGAGTTTAGAAGTGAACAAAACCGAAGACTGTCTATTTAAACACAACCATGGGAAACAGTAAGTATTCGCCTCCTAAGCCGAGATTTTGTAGACTACTGAAGTGGCTATATGAGTTCTCTACTGTTCATAAGTGATAACAATTGCATATTTCTATAATGTTTAGTCAGTGACTTAGTTAGGAACATTTAAAGCTTCTGAGTCCATGGTTAAATTTTTATGGAATGGCATCTGTTTTGGAATTATTTTTCTTCCAAATTCATAGTATTTTATATCCTGAAGAATGGGATGACATCTCATCAGACAGCATAAAATTCACTGTTAGTTGGAACTCAGAGGTTGAATAAAAAAGAAATACAAAACAAGCTTAATTTAAGTAAATTAATGAATACCAAAAGAAATTTAGTTAGATCCAAGTTAAACAATGCATACTGCATGAATTCACTAAAACAATCGGCCCACAGGCTGCGACATTCATTTGTGGGTGTTGGCTTCCACTGTTCAAGTCATCTGAGTAAGCTGGAGATGCACTGACAAGCAGCCACACCATTCATTCGGATGTCCCAGTGAGATTATCAGTTAAGTATACATCACTGCCCAGCATTATCGACCCGAAATATATTCTCAGTTTCGGAAAACCAAATTAATTTTCTGGTCACATTGGAAAAGAAGATTAAGGGATGCAGAATTATGTACAAGGACTATAATATCACTGTAATCTACATGCTCGCCGATATCCTTCAACTTCTGAGCATGACGTGATTTTAGAGAAGCGTGCATTGACAGCAGCCTCGGTGCCATTCCTGATTAGGAAATTCACCACCGACATTTGTATATTGTCTACGACAGACTGATTTCCTACAGAGTAGCGATAAAAGAATAGTGCACTGTCCACTTCACAAAACTAAACATAGGGCTAAAATTAATGGATCAACTTAAAATTAACTAAATAAACATCTTGGCCATCTGAAGATTCTTTAGGTGTTTAAGGTGCTATGTGACGGGTTCGCGTCTGGTTGTGTTCCAATACTATTTTGCGCTACTTTCTCGCGCTTTTCACATGCACATTCTCTGAGTCCGTAGTTCGGCCATACTACCCAGATAGGTTCTAAGTATCTACCCTGAATAACGTTAGGTTTTCTACGCAAATGTACTTTTCAATAGAACGCAATACTAAATAACTACGTCTTTCTAATTTGTGTTTTGCCATCAGAACTTAAAGTCAGGTAGTATAGTGGTTTATAGGTAATTAGGCCTACCACGTTTGGTGAAGTTGAAAAAGTGCAGCCAATCAGTATCAACACTATTATTTTACAAACATT